TATAGCAGCCCTTTGGTTCAGTCGGTTCCGGCAGCCAAAGAGAGCCGAAGGATCAGTCGAAGCTACTGCTGTATCCTTCGGCTCTTTAGTGAATAACCCCCTTAGTCTAACTAAATCATGTATGTAGACCTTGCTCACCAGCTCATTCGCTTAGTAGTGAACCCGGCCGAAGTAATTTTAAGCAACTGCCACAGAGGCCGAACTTCTCATATCAAATAACTAACTTTTCTGTAATTATCTTAGAGGAAATAAAACATCTCAGTGATCAAACTGCAATAAAGAGCTTGTATTCCTATATATATATATATATATATATTATAAGGGGGGCTGATGATGGGTTAGCCCCCCCAGAAAATAACTGTTAATATTAGAGGTGCACCGAAATAGAAATGTAAAAACCTAAACAAAACCGAAATTAAAAAAATTGTCAGGCCGAAACCGAAAATGTTTTATTTACATTTTTTTAAATGTTTCAAATATTTTATTGTTATTTATTTTTTATAAACATTTACATTTTTTTAATATGTATTTTTATTTATTAATTCATTTTTTATCAAATATTTGTATTTTTTACTTTACTTTTAGGGGCTTCGGGGAAATATTAGGGGCCTAAACAGACCCCTGATATTTCCCTTTTAAAATAGAAAAAGAGATTGAGAACTGAGTTCTCAATCTCTTTTTCTGTATCCCGTTAGTAAAATGGCACTTTCGGCATTTAGCCAAAAGTGCAATTTTCGGCCGATATGTTTCGGCGGACGATATATCTGTGCATCCCTAGTTAATATCTCTACTTCTATGTGAGATCTAATGCAAACAACAATTGATCTAACAAAGATCTAACCAACTGCATACGTTTTGTTTAAAAATTTTGATATGGGGGGGCTAATACGGCTGAGGTCAACAAGTGTCTGTCTGCTAAGGTCACATTGGACACAATGATTAACTGTCCGCTATGTTCACATGATTACAACAAGAATAACATCTGTTTGCTCTGGAGGAGATGCATTACATGTGTGAGGTCTGACTAGGCCTGAAGCTTACAGGTGGTCAGATGTGGACTCAGTCAGGGTCCAGAATTGTTCCTGGGATGGAACGCCAGGGAGGAGCTTTGTCTGCTGAAGGTACCAGAGAAGACAGGATAGGCTTGGAGCCTGGTGTCTCACGTATGTGCATCCCTGTGCCTTTAAGGGAGGTTGGGCTTCCTCCTGACAAACCTACACCCAATTTGATCTTTTGCCCCATGTGCTCCAAGATGGAGACTCTCATAGTTTAGAGTTAGGACCGCACTATATAGAGGTGCCTTGGCGCGGCTGTGCGGCTTTCACATATTCTGCAGAAGACGTGTACCTAAACCTCTGTTTTTAACCTTAGCGGTGAGACAAGTTTTTTTGCATGCTGGCTGGTGAGTGTGCTGGGAAACTTTTGTTGCTGTTGTCACGTATGAGAGATCTCAAAATGTCTGCCAGCTATGGTGCTATAACACAGTGTCATCATATGTGTGGGTCGAAGACCCACTACACTGTGAATCTGGAGAGCATTTGGTGAGTCTGGAGTTCTGTGTTCCTCAGATGTCTGCAATCCTAACCCTCTCTCCCTGTTTTGCCGTTGGTTCCAATAAAGCATCATAAAAATCTTAAAAGTGACTGGCGCCCTATTTCACTCAACACATCCCACATGCTGGCTAAGGATCCATCCCTAAAGGGAAATATCAGCCCCTGCAGGGGGGGGATTACACTGACATGGAAACAAAACAGGAAAGGAAAATGACGGTAAGAATCATAAACAATATTTGGATTTTCATTGCTACAGAACCCTTATCATTGCTGGACTGCTTGTACATAGATATTATCCCTAAGGGTAGTTGGGCGGTGTTCCATGGGCAAGTATGCATGAAGGTGTTACGGGCAATCTGTGTTATTTGCTACATTGTGTCTCCAGTGAAATAAAAAATACTTACTGCATAAACCATTATTGCAGTGATCAGTACAGTTGGCACATTTTTCTCCTATAGCGTAAGGACTGCTAATAAATTTCTTTTCATTTCCTCTGTAATAAAAGAGAAAGGTGACAAACACACAGATTAAGGGCCTATTCACACTGTAGCCCTAAGAGAAATAGGGCCATACCATCAGAAGCATGCCAGCTAGGGCTAAACTATTATTATTATTATTATTATTATTATTATTATTATTATTATTATTCAGGATTTATTTAGTACAAATAAAATGCAACATTACAATATAAGGAGGACAATGCACTTACAATACAAATTAAGACAATGTGGTAAGGAGGGCTCACTACTCAAACACTCAGTCACCAATAAACTGAAGACAAAATGATGTCCCACAAATAGCTGAACCGCTATTTTCAAATCTCACAATTTTTTCATCTTGGTATGTGAAAGTTCTCATTTATCCTGGTCATGGTGTAACTAGCATCGCTGATGCTCATTAGAACTGAAGAAGTGACTTGGAAAAGCCAAGGAATATATTTAACATTACAGAACAGCTACAAATGAATGTGACAACTACTACCACCTATAGTAGTACCGTGTTTCAACCGAAAATAAGACCTAGTACTATTTTTGGGAATTGCTAAAATATAAGACCTGCCCCAAAATTAAGACCTAGTTGTAACCATTCCCAGGGCCGGTGGTGGCATAAGGGGGAACTTGAAGAGGCGCGGGAGAGAATCAGCGGTGCCAACGAAGCCAGCACTAAAGGAAGCGAGGCGGCAGCGGAGGAAGCAGAGCCGCATAAGCCGATGCATCCTCTATAGTGCCGGCTCCAGTGGAGTAATACCAAATGCACTCCGCCTGTGAGGAATAATAGTGAAAGAGCGCTTCTCTCAATCTGGCCAGTGATTGGTTACCAAATTGCTCTTGGAAAGGTACGGCACCCCTGATTGCCCTGATCACCATATATTCTTGTACATGAATACATGTAGACTGTTGTACATGAATAAGTGCGGAATGTTGTACATGAAAAAAAAAAAATACCTACCCAAAAATAAGACCTAGTGTGTTTTTTGGAGCCCAAAAAATTATAAGACAGTGTCTTATTCTCAGGGAAACACGGTAGTTAGTCTCATTCAACCAGACTTGTTCTGTAATGTTGAATACATTTTGCAACTTGTCCAAGCAGCATCTGCAGCTTATTGTCAGAAACATACCCCACCTTTTATAGCCTGATGTGTAACGTAGTCACCTTATAGTGTATGTAAAGCCAAACCTTATTTTTGGTGGATTTTTATATCAAACCCTTATCAGGTCATTGTGTGCTGTCTGTGTCCTGCGGGGAAGATTGCCCTTCGGTCTCTGTCCTGGAGACGCAACAGGAAATGAGTAGGAGGAAATCCCATCTTAGACAGTTGTTACCAGAACATTTATACCCATTGGAAGAATTCCCTTTAACTGGGGATGCACCGATACTGATACTAGTATCGGTGCCGATACAGGTTATTTTCACAAGTATTTGTACTTCTGCAAATATCCTGATACATAGGGCAGATGCCAGGGCGCATTACATTTTTAAAAGTCCCATTTGTTGAAGACCTCAGGCATCCTGTTGAGGACCTCATGATAGCTGTCTTTGCCAGTGCTGGTCCGGTTTCACATCCCCTTCTCTAGACTGGCACTGCCCTGGACAGCCCCACACTTGCCTGTAAAGTTTTGGAGAGCCTGATACCTGGAACCCACCCATTCAGCCCTGGAGAGCCACACATGCAGCCCTGGGGAGGCCCAAACACAGCCCTGGTGAGACACGAACGCAGCCCTGGTGAGACCTGAATGCAGCCCTGGTGAGACGTGAATGCAGCCATGATGAGACGCAAGCGCAGCCCTGGGACACCCAAATGCAGCCCTGGTGAGACCCAAATGAATCCCTGGTGAGGTGCCACATGCAGCCATGGTGAAACCCAAAAACAGCCTTGCATCAACCCTGGTCAGACCTGAACGCGGCCCAGTTGAGACTCAGATGCAGCCCTGGTGAGACCCAAATGAAGCCCCGGTGAGACACGAATGCAGCCCTGGTGAAGCGCCCCATGCAGCCCTAGTGAGACCCAAATGTAGCCCTGGTGAGACCTGAACGCAGCCCTGGTGAGATCTGTACGCAGCCCAGGTGAGTCGATTGCCATTCTCCATTGCTGTATAATCATGAATTGCTGGGATCTGTAGTCCTCTATTGCTGGTTGCCATTCTCCCTTGCTGAATAATCATGGATCATGTTACAGTTGTTCATAATTATAAAGAAACTGCCCTAAAATCATTAGTCTGTATTGTTTTAGAAAAAAGCCCCTTTAAGAAAAAGTATCGGTAATCGGTATCGGCGAGTACCTGAGGGAAAGTACTTGTACACCAGCCAAAGTCAGCTGAAGCCCTCAGCCGAAGCGTATGCGTTCAACTTGGCTGAGCCGGAGACACAGCCGAAGCGGGGAGGACGGTCTGCCGAAGCAGTCTGCTCTCCCCCCAAATGTAAACAAATAGTAAAAAAAAATAAACGATTTGGGGTCCCCCTCCCCGTTCATACCAGACTTTTTAGGAAGTAGGAATGTAGGAGGGACCCTACATACATGGTTCCCCCTAAAAGCCATTTAGGTCTAGGCCCTACCCTCTAGGCCTGGTAGGAATTTTAAGGGGGAACCCCACCACCCCCAAAAAAAAGTGGGGGCCCCTCTAAAATTAACAACCAGAATATTAACGCAAGAACTGGCTTGGCAGGGCAGGAAAGGGGCACTCATGTTTAGTTTACTAATTTGTATTGGGATTGTAGTTCATCACGGAGCGAGCTTAGAGCTCTGACTACTTTACAACACACACAGGGACCATGGGGAACAAAAGAAGCCCCCCTCCAGAAGGAAGGACAGTGTCAGCTGCCTCAGGTGACACCTCATTGGAGGGGTTGCCCGGGTGGTCGGGGGCAGCAGGGGGCAGCACCCCAGGTTGTTAAGAGCTCTCAGCAACCTGTGATGCTTTGTGCGGCTTCCTGCCCAGCTCACAGACATCACCGGTTGGCAAGAGCTGAGCAGGACACTCTGGCTTGCGCCTCTCTTAGGTCCTGGCAACCAGTGATGTCAGTGATCTGGGAAGGGTACCAGACAGAGCTGCTGATCGCCTTCCCCCCAGTGACCATTCCTTGCCAGCAACCCCCTCCCAAACAACAGCACATCTGCTCAGCGACAGCACTGGTCAGGGGGCACTCTATTTTCCCATAGTAGCAAACCTGCTTCTCCCTTTGAATGTGTGGTGACACATTGTGGACAGAAAACCTAAACCTGTTGATATAAAACATTATCTTTAAGGCATACTGGTAAGAAACAAAATTAGATGTACTTACGCAGGGCAGTAATGGCACACATAGATATAGCATAAAGGACTCTGGGGGCAAAAATGTATAGCGCAGCCTAATTGCCAAGATTTGTGCCAGACAAACTGTATAGGGGGAAAAAAACAAAACAAAGCATACAAATATTATTTTTATTATAGCACATAGGTTCCTGACACTCTCACCTAATAAAGTCATGTGATCCTTGTCAATCAATGTAAGTTGTTTCTGATACGTGTCAGGGACCCATGGTGGCAAGATGTCTATGCAGGGCCAGATTTACTCTCTCTGCTGCCCCAAGGCCAGATTCCTCAATGCGCCCCCCTTCCTGCCAACCCCCCCACCCCCATTAAAAAATGGCAGACCTGCAGGCTGCATAAAAGTGATCTTGGCGACATCGCAGAGATCACTTGAATAAAACAAGCGGAGGCTTCCCCGCTGCTTCCTGCTTGCCCAAAGCAGGGCTAAATGTAAACAACGACCTGCCCGGTGCCCGGAACTGCATGTCATGGGCGTAGGGAGATTGGAATTCCACACGCCTGCTGCCCCTCTACTCCCTGCTGCCCCGAGGCTGGGCCTTGGTTGGCCTTGTGGGAAATCCGGCCCTGTGTCTATGCCCACATTTCCAAGAAGCTCTCCATTCTGTGGTGGTCACATTTTCCCTCCTTGATAAACTCCTAATAAAAATCCTAATTGCCTGGCTATTATGCTGACCCACTGGATTCAATGTTTACTGAGCCTGGAACCTGGAAGCGGCATGCAGATCATGAAAGTCAGTCAAAGTTGGAACTACTTAGCCATGGGACCTATGGAAGAATAATCTTACTGGAGTTCCCAAGCTAGCCCCAAGTAAAGGTCTTCTACTCCAGAAAGCCAAAAACGTCTTTGCATCTAGGCCAGAAAGTTCACAGTAAAAAAAAAACTAGTTCACAGTTTTCATTTATATTTTACAGTGTGACACAGTTAGGAACTCTGTCAGGTCCTTCTAGTTTAGGGGAAAGCATGTCCTGATGCAGTATAATCCACCACCTGAATAATCTTTATTAATCCAGAACAAACAGGCCAACAAAGCCCAACCTGGATCATCCCACTCTGATGAATTAAGCCCATCTCTAGGGTTTAAACAAAGAGATGGAGGAACTGGAAGGGGTTGAAAATATATGCACTGTCATGAAGCCAGGGCTGGCCAACGGGGCCGGAATGCGGGATGGGCACCTGCGCATGCGCATTGTCCTACACGCAGGGGACGGTCCACGGCTGCGTGCCTCTGCGCGAACGTGCACACGCCCGCGCGCCACGCTGCACACGCCCGTTTCTAATGTTGGCGTCTAATGTTGGCGCCAAAAGGGCTATTTAAGGCTGAGACACTCAGATCTCCCTGCTGACTGATCTTCAGCTACTACCGTGTTCCTGGATCCTGTTTACTAGTTGAAATTCCTGTTACCAAACCCGGCCTGCTTGACCTTGCTTCTGCTCTATGTTCCTGACCTCGGCTCGTCTTTGACCTCTCTTCTGCCTGCTCCTTGGATACCACGCTGCCTGCTAGTTACCGACCCGGCCTGTCCCTGATTAAGTCCTGCCTTCTGATTTTGTACTCCGCTACCAGATTGTTGATGACCCGACTTGTGTTACCCTGCTTCTAGGATCTTCTTACCAACCTGCACCCTGCTCAGAAACCTCAGCTACCTGTACGCAGCTTCGACAGGAGTCGCAACCTACCGGCACTTGTGCCCCTCCTGCTCCTCACGCACCTGTGTCTACTATCCAGAGGTGTTTAGACTGGAGCAGCAAGAGAGGCCGCCCTCGTCATCTCAGGCTCCATTTAAGGTACGTGACATGCACATTCCCTTGTTATTTAATTTACAGTGACATGCATGTACAAATCCTCATTGATGTCCACATATGTTTGATGTGCATATTTAACCCCAACACATATACATTATATTGCCAAAAGTATTGGGATGCCGGCCTTTACACGTGCATCAACTTCCCAGTCTTAGTCTGTAGGGTTCAGTATTGGGTTGGCTCCGCCCTTTGCAGCTATAACAGCTTCAACTCTTCTGGGAAGTCATCCACGAGGTTTAGGAGTGTGTCTATGGGAATGTTTGACCATTTGTGAGGTCAGGTACTGATGTTGGAGGAGAAGGCCGGGCTTGCAGTCTCCGCTCAAATTAATTCCAAAGGTGTTCTTTTTTTTTTTCCAACCTTTTTTATTTTATACATCCCAAAGGTGTTCTATGGGGTTGAGGTCAGGACTCTGTGCAGGCCAGTCACATTCCTCAACCCCAAACTCCCCCATCCATGTCTTTATGGATATTGCTTTGTGCACTGGTGCGCAGTCATGTTGGAACCGGAATGGGCCATCCCCAAACTGTTCCCACAAAGTTGGGAGCATGAAATTGTCCAAAAAGTCTTGGTGTGCTGATGGCTTAAGAGTTCCCTTCAATGGAACTAAGGGGCCAAGCCAAACCCCTGAAAAACAACCCCACACCATAACCCCCCCTCCACCAAACTTTACACTTGGGACAATGCAGTCAGGCAAGTACCGTTCTCCTGGCAACTGCCTATCACAGTACCATGCTTGTAGTCACTGAGCTCCTGAGAGCGACCCATTCTATCACAAATGTTTGTAGAAGCGTCTGCATGCCGAGGTGCGTGATTGTATGCACCTGTGGCCATGGAGGTGATTAGAACACCTGAATCCAAGTTATATGCGGGTCATATGCAAGTTATTAATGGCTCAAGGATTGTCTGAAGCAGCACAGCAATCATAGAAAGCCGTTTGGATGGAGCTAATGCCATCGAAGATATTCAGAAGTAAAAATGTTGTGCAAGGTGCTATTTATACCTGGGTGTAATGGCCAATAACTTTGCCTTCTTCTGTTGCTCCTTTTCCATATTGAAAGTCTTTATTTTCATCCCACCAGCCTTGCAAAACTTTAGACCAGCTGATCAGCCTGCTAGATAGGAACAGGTTCTCTCCACATCCCCAAGCTGAAATAAAAAGTATAAAATCTAAAGTCAGCCATGCATCTTTGTTTATTTCACTAGTAACCCCCTCTCCCCAGGCACCTGTAGCCTCATGCTTCTTAGTTGCTTTTTACTTGGTCCCCAGCATCCTCTTCTTAGCAGGCATTCAGTAGGTATGAGCTTCAAGTTCAGGTCAACAACGAGTTTGACCCAAAACCCAAGCTGTTCGCAGTTTGGTGAACGATTTGGCCACCAAAACTCATTGGTTCCATATCAACCAATGACACTATGCTTATAACTGCATATGATAAAACCAATGGTCAGATGCACGCAGCTGAAAATCAGTGATGAGCAGACTAGGCAGGATCCAGCTTTATTGGTTGCTAGGACGCTGGTGGCTGGGCCACACAGTGTCATTGGTTGCTAGGACACAAGCAGGAGTACTTTAACAACGAATATTGGTGTGGGGCCACCAGCGTCTTAAAAACCAATGATACGGTGTGGCCCCACAGCATCAAAGGTTTTTATAGTGTACCCACCTGCTGCCTTCAAAGGGCATCTCCAGTGACTGTTCAGCAACAAGTGCATGATGCTCACCCCAAACTTATAGCAACACTAAACTCAGGAGTTATATCCTAAAAATACATCCAAGTCCCTTAACTACTAACAATGTATCCTATTTGTGTATCACTCGGCTGTAGATCCTCCAATCATCTCTGAATTGGTGCTGACACTGTCCTTCCTTCTGGAGGGGGGCTACTTTTGTTCCCCATGGTCCCTGTGTGTGTTGTAAAGTAGTCACCGCTCCAAGCTCACTCCCGGGATGGACTACAATCTCATGTTTAGTTTACAAATTTGTATCGGAATTGTAGTCCATCGCAGGAGTGAGCTTGCAGTGGTGACTACTTTACAGCACACACACAGGGACCATGGGGAACAAAAGTAGCCCCCCTCCAGAAGGAAGGACAGTGTCAGCACCAATTCAGAGATGATTGGAGGATCTACAGCCGAGTGATGCACAAATAAGATACATTGTTGTTAATAGTTAAGGGACTTGAATGTATTTTTAAGATTTAAGAGTTTAGCGTCACTTTAATAAAGGCCCTAGCAAGACAAAAACAAATGAAAACCCCCCTCAAAAAATAAATATAAACTCGAAAAGGCTGACCCTGCAAAACAAAAGCCCTAGGAGAAAATAAAATAGTGGAAATATTAAACAAAAGACCACAATAAGTCACAAATGAAACAAAAAAGGCTACTGAGGTATGGCACAAAGGCTATTGTTACTTACCATCGGTTCTTCGAAGATCTTGCTTGCTATGGCCCGTAGGACATGTTTTAGCCCATTTAATTGCATTTGCTGCTGCTTCCTCATGCCATTTCTTAAAATAAAAACAAAGACAAACATGAAAACCTAATTCAAGACCTGCTGGGCAATCCCAAACATTAATTATGTACAGTCACTGAGCTCCCGTAACATCTTTTTTTTACAAGACAGGGTTGCATAATTGTTAGCATCCTGTTCAAACAGACATGGGTGCAAACAGGGCCGGATTCCCGACAAGGCCACCGAGGCCTGGCCCCGGGGAGGCACGGAGCAGAGGGGCGGCACAGATTTGAAGTCACCCGACACCTGGAACATGGAGTTCCGGGCACCATGCGGTGAGCAGAGCGGCAGGGTTAAAAGTAACCCTGCCGCTCCATGTATACCGTCTTTCCCTCTCACCTGTCGCCTGTCACAGGAGTTCCAGCACAATGCTGTGCTGGAACACCTGCATTGGAGGTGACAGGGTCAATAAAGAGAACCTGTCACCTTCAAATGCTATCACAAATGGAGCTTGTTAGCTCCTGTGTGATAGCAATAAAGTTAAGTGAAAAAAAATAGATCAAAAAATTACTTAAATAAAAATAAAAAAATAAGTAAAAAATAATAAGTTATAATAATTACATTAAAAAAATAAAGTAAAACATTAATAAGATACAAAACTATAAAAAAAGTAAAAGATGACAAGGTAAATAAAAATGTAAAAAAGTAAAAAAAAGTGCTAAAAAAGTTAAAAAAAGAAACATTGAAATATTCAAACCAGCCCTGTCACCCCCGCTATCTGGAGATGGGGGATGGGTGAGGGTGGAGGGGGGCACATTGCAGAACCTGGCCTTGGGGCAGCAGGGAGAGTAACCTCTGGGTGCAACCACAATTCTTAAACATTGTACTGTGATTAGTAGTTCTGCCACTAGGTGGTATCGTTCATGAATAATGTAATATTCTTTCCTAATGGAACCACGTAGTTGATGGAATTTCCTGCCTCTTCGTTCCTGTTGTTTTCCATGAAAACAAAAACAAAGCATCTCAACCATGTGCCTAGCAACATCTTGACTTCAGCAGCTTTCCAACAATTATCACCTATATTGTACAATACCGGGGCAATTTACAACTCTATGATTGAAGCAGAGCAGGTCATGTGACATTGACTGGGCTTCCCATCTGGCTCCTTCTTTACAAGTCTCATTTAGTTTTCTTGCACACCAATGGCTTCAGACTTTTGGAAATGCACATTTGCAAGCACACTGTTATGCTTAATAAATGTGCTGAACTTTTGAATGTTTTCAAGGCAACAATTTGGCTGTGTTAAAGCTGTACCCGCTGCTTTCTATTTGGGCCCCCTAGTAGAACTTGATTCAAATTTTTTGGGGGGTTTAGATAGATAGTAACACACCTTCTCTCCTGCACATACTACCTCCTGCACCTCCTATACTGTCTGTCATTATATTCCCGCACTCCTCTCCTGCACATACTGCCTGCTGGTCTATCCTCCCTGCTCCTCTTCTGCACATACTGCCTGCTGGTCTATCCTCCCTGCTCCTCTTCTGCACACACTGCCTGCTGGTCTATCCTCCCCGATCCTCTTCTGCACATACTGCCTGCTGTTATGTGCTCCCCACTCCTTTCCTGTACATACTGCCTGCCGCTCTATCCTCCCCATTCCCTTCCGGCACATACTGCCTGCTGGTCAATCCTCCCCATTCCCCTCCGGCACATACTGCCTGCTACTCTATCCTCCCCGTTCCCTTCCGGCACATACTGCCTGCTGGTCTATACTCCCCGCTCTTCTCCTGCACATACTGCCTGCTGGTCTATCCTCCCCATTCCCCTCTGGCACATACTGCCTGCTGGTCTATCCTCCCTGCTCCTTTCCTGCACATACTGCCTGCTATTATATGCTCCCCACTCCTCTCCTGCACACACTGCCTACTGGTCTATCTTCCCCTCCAGCATATACTGCCTGCTGGTCTATTCTTGTCCATACTCCTCGCTCCTCTCCTGCACATAGGTCCAGTTGTGGGGCACCGAGCCACAGAATGGTTGTCTTTGAGGGCAGAAAAGGGCAACCAAATTAATAAGGGGGCTGGGGGACCTACGCTATGGGGAAAGATTACAAAAACTGAACTTATTCCCTATAAAGAAGAGTCAGTTAAGAGTGAATATGGTCTCAATGTACAAACTGATAAATGGAGACAGTTGGTAACAAGCTATTAACTCTAAGGTCCCTATAAAAGACAAGAGGCCATAACCTGACACTGGAGGAAAAAAGGTTTAATCTCAAACTGTGTAGGGGATTCCTTACTGTTAGATCAGTAAAGATGCTGAACTCTCTTCACCAGATAGAGAGTATAGACACATTCATATAATGTCAATGTTTTCCTCAGGGGATACAGTATACCAGGGTATGGGAATTCTTAGTGACACGCACACACACACACACACACACACACACACACGTTGAACTGGATGGACCTGAGTCTATATTCACCCATAACAAGATACATCAGCATTTCCCTTTAAAAAGTACTAATAAAATAAGAAGAAGATGGTAGATCAGGAAAGTTAGAGTGATGTCAGATCTGCATGCATTTTCCAAGCCTTTTGCTTGATTCTCAAGTCCTCAAGTCACTGCATGAACGTAACAGCCTTGTCAGATGAGGAGATAAGTCTTCTTACATGAAGGGTACCATTGCTTACCTCCTGAATATGTCAGTTGCCTGGTTGTCAATTGAATCCTTTACTATATGCTCTGAGTCACCTACCCAAAGAATGTTTGTAGCTCAGGATTTCGTATTCCTTTGCTGTATATTTGTGTCTTGTCGGTGATGACAGCCAGACAACAAGCTCATACAGGGTTATTCACAAAGCTGCCGAACGCTGTTCCACTATTCACTTCAGGCTTGTACAGCTGATTTCAGCCGTACATCGGCTTGCTTCGGCTGACTTCGGTTCAGCCGAAAATGCTCTGCATGTTCGGCCGACCCAAAGTGCAGAAAGAGTAGACATGTGCACTGCCAAAAAATTCGTTTCGTTTCGTTTTAAATTCGGATTTGTGTTATTTCGTTTTTCAGGATTCGGGTGTGAAAGTGAATTCGGATTCGGAATTTGGATTCGGACGAAATTCGGTAGCGTTAGTACGAACGTTCGTTTCGTTTTCTGTTCTTATTCGTTTCTTATTCGTTTCGTTCGTTTGCAGCAAAAGTGACATTTGAGGGGGAAAAAATATTTTTCTCCTCTAATGTCACTTTGCTCCAACGAACGAAACGAATAAGAAACGAATAAGAACAGAAAACGAAACGAACGTTCGTGCGAACGCTACCGAAATTTCGGAAATGGAAATTCGGATTCGTTTGCATTCGTTATGTCTGTAATTCGGAATTCGGATACATCTGAATGTCCGAATTTACGAAAATTCGTCCGAATTTCGATTCGGAACGAAACTAATCGCACATGTCTAAGAAAGAGTTCGACTCAGACAATCCAACATCTGGATGGGCTGAGCCGAACCTCCGGCAGGCTACTCGCTGCCATTTGGCCTATACTCATAGGGGTTGAACGGCAGTGAGTGACTAGCCAAATGCCGCTGAGCAGCATTCGGCTCAGCAATTCTGCTCGGTACCTCCGTGATACCGAGCAGAATAGAAAAACAGTGAAAAAAGCAGAAAAAAAGAGTAGAAAACAATTGGGCGGTGGTAGCAGTGACAGCTAGCTCTGCCCAACTGTTTCCTATTGGCTGGGACCTGCTGTCAATATAATGAGAGCTCGGTAGAGCTGTCATTAGTTCAGCGTCCCCTGGTTAGCGGGTAACCAGGGGACGCTGAACTGTCATTACAACTGGCCGGAGCCAGCCGTGAGATAACGTCTGGCTCCGCCCAGCTGTCAGTTGCAAGGCTTTCGGCCGGCCATTGGCTCGGCCTGCTTCGGGTTTCACTTCAGCTCAGTCAAGCCGAAGCATATCCCTTGGGCTCGACTAAGCTCCTCAGCAAGCTTCAGGAGCTGTATGGGCTATAGTGAATAGCCCGTACAGCAGCCCTTCAGTTCTACTGAACCGAAGGGCTCAGACGGCCGAAGCTAGCCAAAGGATCAGCCGAAGCTACGGCTGATCCTTCAGCTAGCTTTGTGAATAACCCTCTTAGATTGAGAGCAGCAGTGACAGCCTACATTTGATTTTTAGCATACGCCAAACTCATGTTTATTGGTAATTGATAATTGATATTGATAGTTTTATAAAACTATCATATTTTCCAATGAGTAATTTTTTTTGTAAATTTTGTTTCATTGATAGACCCTCCAAAATCGAAGATGATGCAAAACATTTACAATGCATCCAGTAGCCAGGGATGATGTCATCTAGATTGCCCAGGGTTTAGTCACATGACTGGCAGTCTTCCATTTATGCAAAATAATAGCACAATTTGACAATGCCGACATGTGCGCCACCGAGTCATATGAAGTTTGAAGTTTAATGACATATATTAGAGATGCAGCAATATATCGGCCGCCGAAACATGTTGGCCGAAAACGGCACTTTTGGCAAAATGCCGAAAGTGCCATTTTCTTGCCGCTACAGCGGTACATCCTATTCTCTCCTCCCCGCTTGGTGCTGCTTTGTGTCCCAGCGTGGAGGAGAGAAACTGTCACAGGTGGTCAAGTGCTGGGGGAGGAGAGCGCTGTGAGCGGCCGGGCGTCTCTCCTCCCACACCACTCAGCCTCCTGTCACAGATCAGCATACCGGCGTGTGGACTGAAACAGGCCGCGCTGTCACAGGAGGCTGAGCTCTGCTCGCTTACAGGAAGGAGAACGAGGTACAAGCAGTCAGTGATCAGTGATCGCTGAGTGTTTGCACATAATTGAGGGTAGAGTATGGTTACTATATCCTCAACTATGAATGAATAGGAAGTGATCTACATCACCTCCTGTTCATTCATGACTGTGGATATGGTAAGCATACTCTGTCCTCATGTTATGAATGAACAGGAACACTCAGTATAGAGGATTCCTGTTCATTGATAACAGGGGATACAGAAAAAGAGATTGTGGACTTTGTGTTCTCAATCTCTTTTTCTATGTTAAAAGGGAAATATCAGAGGTCTGTTTAGACCCCCAATATGTCTCCGAAGCCCCTTAAAGTAAAGTAAAAAATATTTAATAAAAATAAATAAATACAAATTAAAAAATTAAAAAGTTTATAAAAAATACATAAAAATGTATTTTTATTTTTTTAAATGAAAAAATTAAAAAAAAAAAATATTTTCCA